GGTATGCACTTATGAAACATGCGTAGTAATTTTACCATAGGTAACTGTTAGATACTGTTCCTAGTCAAATCGTATCGCAACGAATAAAAATACCCTTTATTCACACCCTAACATTCAAATTTACTAAAAGACCTTTGTAACACCCCAAAATACAAAAATAATGATATAAAAACAACATCGATTCCCTAATCGATTTCCGCCGCATACTTTATTCGAGTTGTTATAATTTTGCTAACGATCCAACATGGCGGCCTTAAGGTAAACATTACTATTACAATAACATGTACGGTAATGATGCATTTGTCCCATATGGTGTGAAACCGTCGGTGTTGCCATAAAAAATGTATTAGAGGTGTAAACCAATTAGTGTTGTTAGCGTTCGAATTTGGAACGTAATTGAATTTAGTTGTTTTTTGTGGATTAGTATTGTTTTAGTTGTCTATGAAATATGTTGTGATTGTGAGGTTAACTTGTATAAGAATGATAATATACCCACCCTTAACCGACGAGCATGCATGAAAAGAATGATGACTGTTGATGAAGCGAAAGAAATATGTAAGAATCGTAGCTATTGGCGTTTCACAGTCTCTGCCTACATCCCTGGGAGACAGGCGTGAGATTATGTAGTAAGGTAGTTAAATGATAAATACCATAAACACAACACCATAATCAAAATCCTATATTTTTAACAGAGATCATCAGAATCTAAAGTTAATTTTCATGAGGAGACGTAATACATTATACACACATCCACTCAAACACAATCTAGTTAGTCAGATAACTAGACAATAGACACGTATAAATCACATATAATCTCAATTATATCAATAGATAACTCTTATTACATACAGCTAATCGACTAATCAATAACCAATTATATGTTAATTCCTCTAACAGTAGTAATACAATCTAATTATTACGGACTATCATTACAAATTGTCAAATTTAATTCATACGTCAAATGCTTGACATTACTCAAAATAATGGCGCACTATTCGTACGATTTGAATTTGGAACGTCAAAAGCCAAATGGCGTTCGATTAATTTGAAAAGAATACGATAACGGATAAAGGGTTGTTTGAATACGAATTTGTATTTGGAACAGGTGTGTGAATTGTATTCTTGGCAGTTGTAAAATTAGGTTAGTTTGGTTGCTGTGTGGTGATTAGCTGAATTGGGCATTAATATATTAAAGAACTTTTTTATGTGTGCGCTTGAAAAGAAGCATTTACTTCAATTAAATCCATACAAGCAGTTTTGAAATAAAAAATAAACTTTTCCGTCAGTGAAGCTATAGAATGCATTTCAAAATCTGGATTAATCTATAAATATGAAACTCCATCTTTACCTATTTTGCATGGCATAACATCACGCCTTTTATCCCCGAAGGGGTAGGCAGAGGTGCACATTACAGCACTTAATGCCACTGTACAAAGTAACACCCAAATTTCACTATTTATGTTATGAGTCCCATGTAATAGGAGGTGAGCCTATTGCCATATACCGGGCACATTTCCAGACTCCGTGTTACTACTGAGGTTTTTACAAACCCAGTAATACTTTGCCCGACCCGGGAATCGAACCCGAGACCCCTTGCCCGGCAGTCGCACTTTCGACCACTCGGCCAATGAGGCAGCCAATTTACCTATTTTCTCGGATTTGATACTCATATCAAATAAATATACCACATCAAATTGCCATTGATTTAATAATAAAAAGATTCAATTATGAAATAGACATGTTGGACAAAACTATCGCACTATATGTCGAGTAGTGTTCAGCAGAATACTAACTAATGATTACTGAAATCTTCAGCACCGCGGGCTATTTTTGTTTTGGAATTCTAAACGTTTGAGATTTGCCTGTACACGTGAGTTCGAAGATAATTTGTTACTAGCATTATCTGTATACGAAGGTATGTTCTATCTAGATCATAAACATTACGCTTTTTGTCTCACGAAGGGTTTTCAGACATGGACATTGGTGGACATGACAAATGTAGCATCCACTTACCGGTTTTCTGAGGTCCAATTACCCCCTCTCCACAGTCTTCACTATCCTCAAATTCTTATTTCACAAAAGGGCGGTAAAGCACTTGTAACATCTCTGGTGTTTCAAGTGTCCATAGGCGGCGCCGATTGCTTACCATCAGGTGATCCGTCGTTTACCGGCTTATCCCATAAAACTAGCTATGTTATGAGGTCCATGTAATAAACACTTAACATCACACCTTTTATCCCCGACGGGGTAGAGCAGAGGTGCTCATTACGACACTTAATGCCACTGTACAATGTAACACACACTGTTTACTATTTATGTTATGAGTCCCATGTAATGGGGGTGAGCCTATTGCCATATACCGGGCACAATTCCAGTCTCCTTGCTACTACTGAGAGTAGTACTTCGCCTGACCCGGGAGACACCCTTGCCTAGCAGTCATACTTTTTTTTAAGATGGGAAAATCATCGAATGGCTGCTCCCGCCTGGGTGAGGCGGGAGGGAGTGTCAGACTCTTACTGACTAAAAACCACCCCGTTCCTTCTCCTGCACGTCGAGCCGGAGCCCCGGTTACCCGTTAGGTTCTCTGGCAGTCACATTTGAGACTACTCAGCCAACGAACAAAGGGGCATGTGATACATAACACAAAAATCATTAAATCCATTACACCAAGTCATTAAGTTAAATGCAAGTTATACATCAGTTAAGTCGTAACGATCGTTAGTTACCTATCACACACACAATTAAATCTAAGTTTTTTCGGTAATTACTGGTAAGCCGAATGGCTGACTATTTATCATTTGTATGGTAATTAGAATTATGGTACGTACATACATGAATAAGAAAAAGGTTTTATTATATTTTGTAACTTTAGTTGTAGAACAGAGTGCAATAAGTTTTTTTTAAAAAACATTGCTCCACATTAGGATTTTCTCCTGTGTCGTGGGTGCGTTTACAAACATACAAGATTACATATACAATGACACCCAGACCCGAAACAACAATTTGTGGATCACACAGTGTTATTCCGTGGGGAATCGAACCCGTGACACGTTGCACGGCAGCCGGTTGCCCAGCCACCGCACCAACCGTGCAGTCAGTTTTGTAGTCTACAATAATTTAAAAATTAAGTCAAAACTTGTCAGTTTACCTTGAGAAAGCGTGGTGATCATTGCTCATACCTTTTCCGGGAAGAGGACTTTGGCCATCAAGGGGAATAGTTTGCAGGCTGCAAAGAAAACAAAAGGAAACTAGGAAAAGTCGCAAGCAAATCAACCCACACGATTTTGTCAATTTTATTCATTGGACTTTCACCTTTATATCAACAGAATAAAGAGGAAAATGTGTAACAGAAATGGACAGTTTGACCTGCTGGTGACTATAATTCCAACTAGATACATAGGTGATATTGATAGTACTTAGTTTCATGTGAATTGAAATTTTATTTATTTATTTATCACCACACTTACATCTATCATTACCGGTTTAACCTAATGTGGACAGAAGCTACTTACATTAAACAATACATGTAAACAAAGTTAATAATAGCAATAGCAATACCTTTAGACAAAACATACATACAAGCAATAATTCATCATCATCATTATCATCAACAGCCTATAAATGCCCATTGCTGAGCAAAGCCTCTTCTCACACGGAGAAGGTTTGAACATTAATCACTACGCTTGCTCAATGCGGGTTGGCGATTACAAACTTATAATTAGAAATTATAAGCCCAGGTTTCCTCACGAAGTTTTCCTTCACCGTTTGTCAGTGGTGTCTGAATAATCTTAGAAAGTACATATAACTCTGAAAAAGTCACATTGGTACTTGCCGTTGGTAGGTTTCGAACCCGCACCCTCGTGCATGAGAAGCGGGCGTCTTAACTCGTCGAGTACCGGTTTTATAGACACAATTAAAGAACAATAGGTCGCGGTCACCGGTGACCGCTTGGTGTTTGACAGTTTAATCCTCCGGGCCACCACGACATTACAAGCAATAATCAATAAAATATAATTAAAAAGAAACTACAATACTAAATTATCCTAATACGAGGTAATTTGATTAGCAGTAAGTAACGAACTTCATTGGCATATTAGAAGATATAAAAAGGCTAAATTCTGAGCAATGGAAAGCTTATTATTGTTTGAGTGTAGAAAGAAACAGTTGCACTCATGTTCAATTTTTTTTATTGTGACAAGCCTTTCACAGCCCCCCAATACCGCTGCAACTCCTGCATGCCAGGAGCCACAGTAGATAACATAACATAACACAATATCACGCCTTTTATTCCCGAAGGGGTAGGAAGTGATGCACATATGGTACTTAATGCCACTGTGCAAGGTGACTCCTACTTTTCACTATTTATGTTATGAGTGCTATGTAATAGGGGGTGAACCTATTGCCATATACCGAGCACATTTCCAGACTCCGTGCTACTACTGAGATTTGTTTACAAAACCTAGAAATCCTTTGCTCGACTCGGGAATCGAACCTGAGACCCCTTGCCCAGCAGTCGCACTTGCGACCACTCAGCCAATGAGGCAGTCTTCAGTAGATACAACCATGAAAATACTGGACTACTGAAGTCCGGTGCGTCCCAGTGACATGACATTAAACAAATAATATCAAAATAATTTCGCATATATTTTACCAATAGCCATAAATAAGTCTCCTTACTATTAGCATACTTCCTTATTGCATAACCTGACCATTATTGCCAATGGAAGGCAGGTGTTGCTCATATGCTGTCTAATGGCGAAGTGGCGTGCGCGCCGCCTCATTACCCGATCGCTTCCGAAGTATTACGACAATACCCGAAGTGTTACGACAACTGCCGAACGCTTTAATTTTAACGTGTTTACGAAGTATATTTTTAATTGAGGGTGGGATAAGAAATAGTTATTGGTTATGATTTGCAAAGTATTACACAGTGGTGTAAAAGGATTTCAATAAGAAAGTTATCAGTTTGTGATAGTGTCAGATATTATTTAAACTAGAAGATGGATGTAAGTACAATACAATTATTTTAGCAGTGATAGAATAGAATATTCATTTACATATGTGGTGTGTGTGGATTTTACTATGTCATATTCTTTACTCGTCAGTTGTTTGACTCCAAAGCTAAGAATTCTAAATTGGGTTGATGATAGGATATGAAAATTAAAATATAATTAGTCCGTAAGTGAGGTAATGAAAAAATATTAGACACGTTTTTTTTTTATTTTGTCGTGTTTATAAAACGAATTAAAGTTTAGGAGTGGGGGCTAAAACGTCATTTCTACGTATAAAATGTACATAGAAGTGATGTCACGCGACATTTCAAATCAATATATCGTCGAAAGTATTCGTTTCTGTAAGAAAATAAAAAATACGTGTCTAATGATTTAAAATAATCTACCAGACAACATCAAAATAAAAATTAGGCATCTACCCTATTGTCATGTATAACAATCAAAAACAGTGATTACAAACCAATTCTGTAACAATTTAAAGCCCAATTTCCAAAAATATGAACACACATTAATTTCCAAGCTCAACCCAATAGTTTTCTAACTCTAAACAAAATAAATATGTCGTTTTTTTCTATTTCAACCATTTAGTCTCGGCTGAATAGTCACTGTTAGCCGCCTCGCCTCATTGACCTCACTGAATCGATTGTCAGGGGTCCAAAATTATGTTTAATACAATAATTGATATAAATATACCATAGTTGCTGTTTAGATACGGGTGTAAGCAGTGGACGTGAGTTTTTGAATAGAAAAAGTGAATATGTCTACTAATCTTCCTCGATTTCGGGACAATGTATGGCCAAAATATCTATGTAGGAGTAGCTAACTGATTTTGATTTAATGCAATACATTTTCAAAGTCAAAGTCAAAATCGTTTATTTAAATTAGACCAGGAAGCCACTTTTGATCGTCAACAACAAAAATTTAGAAGTGAAGCTAGTTGCTCATTCCAATATGTAGATATAGGAGAAGAACGAGCAAGAAACTCCATAGGTTTCAATCTGCATATCTGTTCAACAACTTGAGATATAATTCAGTGTATGGACTTAGTAAAGAAAATCTAAGGGAAAATGTACACTTGTCAATAGGTATCTAGGTTCTTTGATTATAAAAACTTTCCAAGTCAACACAACGTAAGTCTTAAGTCAATGACCCAAGGTCCATAGTCAACATTCTATCAAGGCTAATATCTTTATCTCTTTCTTATTTACAGAGACCGCCATCGTCGTCCTTGTCATACGGAGGAGCGGTGAACGATGACGTTCGTTCTCCTGGCTCTGGAGGCACTCCTGGACCTCTCAGCCAGCCCCCGCCGCAGACACTCGACGCGACAGATCCAGGTAAGCTTCCTTATATTTATGTTATCCTGGTACCTTGGACTATGAAATTGATGTTTTGTTTTATGATGTAGCAAATTTTTTTATTGATTTATTTGTATTTCGTAACAAAGTTAGACTCGTATTTCTAACGCTCATGATATCCTGGTAGCCTGAACATGAAATTAATATTTTTTAAGTTAAAGAAGAATCACCTATGATAGATGCTGTACTTAAGAGGTCTAATTGACCTGCAAACAAGGTCGTCAATTCGATTGTTAGTACGTGGAAAGGTTTTGATATTCGTTATTAATCTTGTAAAGGTACTATCAAAATACAGCTGATTATAAATTCGTTAAACTCATGTAGGAAAGGAACTAAAATACAATTGATTATGAAGATCCTTCAAATAAAATAATTTATGGCAGGTTTCATTTTGATCCGAAAATGTTGCAATAGATGTGCAAAAAGCAAAGAAAAAAAGTAAAAGGAATTCGAAACTTAGTCAAAATTGATGACCAATAAACATTTTAATTGCGATGTTTAAGAATTTCCGTAATTAGACAGTAAAAGGATGAAATAATCATTCGTGTCCGGCTTTGAATGTTAATTTAACACCTCAACCGGGCAATAACATTCATTTGGTTAAATGCTCATTATTTGAACATAAATTATTTTTTTCTTTTCGCCGTCTTGTTGCAACATTACGTTGGTAGTATTAGGGGTCGTGTACAAGTGTGGATTGGCGTTACAATATTCAGACAACAGTGTTAAATGGACTTTATGATTGTCAAGTATAGACTCTGCTTAAATTTTGGTCTTACGAAGTAAAAGTTTTCTAAATTCAAATTTGAAAAAACCGTGGCCAGTATTTGGCGATAGGGTTTTTAGTCTTCATTTAAAACGCATAGCTCATGTAAAATTGATAAAGAAAGGGCCTTCTGCGACAACCTTGATTGTACATTTGTTCATAAGATGAATTCTATATCCCAATGAAGGTTGCACATGTAATTTGAGTTGTTACAAAATGTATCAACCTATGATGATAATTATTGCAAAAGCTAGAGTAATCTCAACAGGAATCCATCACTAAAACACTAAAATAACTTAAACCTCGTGATTAGTCCGTATCTCATCATAATATGTAAATTTTAACGATCATGGCATATTTTCTTGCTGCAACAGAAACTATCTTTTACGAGCTATCGCCTCGCTTCACTGCATATCATACCTAATGATGTTTACTATTGCAACTTAGTAAACTACTTGTATCCGTTTTAGTAATCGATTCTCATCGGAATATACGATTATCTATATCGATTAACGAACAGCGATCAAGTTTCATAGGCCGCGTAGGTTCCGTATTCTAAAAACTGATATCGGATTACACGCAAATACGTTTAGAAAGCGAATAAACGTCAGGGGTGTGTTTATGTGACTCCTACGCTTCGTCCATAACAATTAACATGTCCGCACTTGGATCTAGATCCGACTCGGCACGTCAACACCCTTTGAGAGCCAATTGAAAACTGACAGGTCCACATCGTCACGTCACTATCACACGTCAAAGTTCTTCTGCTTAAATTTTGTAAAAAGAAGTCGCCGGCCGCGCTAGCCACACGTTTGTCAACGTTCAGATATCCGTCACGAGTTGGAGAATCCGTCGTCACTCAGCGGGGACATGTTACCTTACGTATCTCGATCGATTGTCATGTATTCATTCGTAAATGACTGATGGGTGTCCGTAGAACGGGACGTTACGACGTTACAACACTAGCGCCGACCTCACAATAGGTATTGAAATGAGACAGGATTGTGTGCACGTATCGCCGATGCATCTCGGTTTATCGCTTTCATATTCCTATGCGCTGGTAATTTGTGTGGGATTACATTGTGCTATTCATATTTACGATTCAAAATATTCAGGCGCGGTGACGTTTTGATTTTTCCACGTAAAAAACGTGTCTCAAAAAAGGTGCGACTACAAAAGACGCAATCACTAGCGCAGCGTTTGACAGCTGTCAAAAATGGCCGACGCGTTGGCGCGAAAAACTAACAAAGCGTCAGCGAGTGTGTTTTTTTCACATTTCCACGTAGTTTTTGTGGAAAAATTATGCTTTCGACACACGTATGTGTAATTGTTTGGTTTGTCGCACGGCGCGCGGCGGGAGAACCGAAATGCTGGCCAAATTGAATTTTGTGAAGCCGCAGCGTCCGTACTGATCTGTAACTAGGAACCATTTTGTTTTCAACGTTTTTCTGTTCTATTCACCGGGAGTCAGTAATTGCGTAATATATCAGTGTTTTGCGGATTGCGAACCGTCTCGTGTCAGCTAGCGACGTCTCTTACGAGTGGAAAAAATAATATGATTCAGTTACGCCTATCTAAGGTTAAGAAGTTAACAGTTATTGTGCTTTTAACATATTGATATAATAAATCATTAGTTATTAGGTCACAGTTATTACTTGTCAGAAAAAGCTGCCATAAATATTGTATCACTATTATCTAACGTACCTACAACTATAATAAATACAATTATTATGTCAGATAGAACGTCTTTATTATTTATATGAATGCAATTAAATCTTTATCGCTCCAACACTATTAAACAAAAAGATGCCAAAAACAATTAGGACCACAAAACCCATTTCCACCCAAAACAATAAGCAGACTAATTAAACCAAAAATTCACTCGTCCTCCTCCCGCGTGCCATAAAGGGCTAACTCACTCCCGTGAATTATTCAAAATTCAAAATTTGCCTATAATTCAATCAGTCCATGCCCCCTGTGTCCCCGGGGAGGGGGTGTAGGGGAGAGCGGGCCGATTATTTCAGAATTTAATATTAATTAACTGACGCTCTCGGCGTTCATAATTGCGTTTTTCAATTACCGAATGACAATTATGCGAAAATTTTGGATCAGACAGGACGATGCTGCTAATTGTCAATCGTTGACACTTGTGCAGATGATTTTTTTTGTGCCGCCATGTTTATTGACATGGACGAAAATTATTCTGCCAGCCTTTCAAAAATATTCCTGATTGGTAGACGAAATGTGACAGACGAATGTGATTCATCCTTAATTGTCAGGCTATTTAAATGATATGAATACTTTGGTCCTGTGTTACCTACTACAGGGAATAATGTCGTTAAAATAAATTGTTTCATGTGTTCACTTATTCGGGCAACTGGCTATTTCCTAGGCCCTGGCGTAGGGCCAGAAAAACCATAGAATTTTAAGAACCTGCTAGGGTTTTCACGTGTGAATTAATCTAGTTGGTCGTAATGCTAATGGCGTCGTGTGAGCCAGCAGTTTTATGTTGATTACTTATTTAAATAAAGCATATTGTTTGCCAGGTGTTCCTTTAATGGGTTTCTTGCTCTTTTCATCGTGTCCTATTGGTTTATTTGGGTAATTACTGCTTGTTAGGATCGGAGTTAATGTTAGGCGTAGGATTTAAATAGAATGATACCTATGTGAAGTTTAAGACATCTTTGTCATAAGTTATTGAAGACCAACCCTAATTCTAAAGGAGTGTAAACAATATAAAATTCAACCCTAAAATGCAAGTGCCTGCAACAGTAAATTAGAAAGTAATTCTTAACCAAAAGACGTTGAAGTGTAACTCGTACAAAATATGACGATTATTGTATTACAGCCCCCTTGAGGAGGTTGGGGGTAAATATGAACGTGGAACACAATTACGGCCTGTGGCTGTTCGCTTCTATTTTCGTCAGAATTCTGTCGGTAACTTGGTATTCAATCCACGAGTAAAATGACCGCTGACTGGACGTCTATGTGTTTGGAATATTCTGTTCTAGAGCTATCCGGGTGTCGGCGAAGTCAAGTCGCGTTGCCTACATGTTTTTTGCGTGCTAATAACAAGCTTTACGCATTGTCGTATGCTAAACAGGCTCGCGTCGTTTTTGATGGGTTTTTTCTATATGACTTTGTAAGTTATAAGTTATTTGTTAGTGTGAATGTAATTTGATTAGGTGTTTATGTTCGTTTGACGTAGTTTAGGACTAGTTTTATAGGCATTGTGTGCTAATGTTTAGACACTTTTGATTAGCACTTAAATCTAGTGTTACATTAAATATGCATGGTTTTTAAGACTCCCTCTTGAATCGTAACAAATGGAAAAGTACTTGGTGTGTGCATTAAGTGCCGCAATGTTGGAAACTGCAAATCATCTTCAAGTGATCCAATAAACTGAACACCGGGGACTTCGGCTTATCAATATTTCAGGCACAAAATTGAAAATTACCGGAACCCCCAGCTGACTTACATAACTCAAACCTATCGAAACCAATAAAATATTAACTGGCAACGTTTTCCCGCCATTTTTCACCGGCCATTCGACTTTCGTATCACGTCCCGCCCGCACTTACACTCAATGCTAAATGTAATCATAAAATTGTTGTTAATAATTCATGTGAGAGCGAGACAGACGTGTTCGAGTGAAAGGGAGGTGTGTATAGGTGTGGGAGCGGGATTATTAAATTCTGTGAATGCTCACTTTGTATCTAATATCCGAATGTGTTTAATATTAGATTAGCGGAGGGTCGGTGTTTGCCCGACTTCCCCGGGGCGTGGTGGCTCGTGATAGATTCGCGTTAAGTTACGTTTTCCCCGAATTATGATTGGTTGATGGTTTCTCCTCATTTGGAAATGGAAAATTCGCCCTTTGAACGTGTAAGTAAGTAGTAGGATATCGACAATAATTAGGAATATTCTGATGCATTGACACGGAAATGCGTTGTTGTAATTTACTTCGTTTTGCTTTAAAGAATTTCCTTATAAGGTCCATTTTAGATAAATTTTTTAGTAGATACATTACAGGACTACAGGTTTAGCGTATTTGTTGACTAAAAGTCACAAAAGAGCACACTTGTTGCCTTGTCAAACTACACAATTTCTGCCTTCGAAGTAGACTGAAAACCACAAATCCAAACTTTATACAATCACATTACTCAAAACTGTTAATGAGACTTTAGCAGATCAGCATTCACACCACATATCTACTTACTCCTTCAGGGCATAACAGGTGTGATGACACCATGTTGTAAGACCAACAGATATACGATACGATGTTGATCAAAAAGTACAAACAAAAAAAAACAATGAGTTCACTGAGCTTTAGCGGTGTCCAACAAATTTCGGGTAACCTGACCCCATAGCCATGGCTTCCACGTTTCCCGTATTTGATCTGTGGTTTTGGACCTCAGGAGTCATGTATCTTACAAAACGAAAGGTAATAACTCGGTTCCAATTACCTATCACGTTGAATTTAAAACCATTTTGAGTTTCGGATGCCATTTTGTCCGTGGAGACTGGAGATTTGTTTTAAAGCGTGGCCATTGTTTAGAAGGTGTTAGATTATTGTTTAAATGTGTTAGTCTCTTTTGTTTAGAAATATCCTGGTGGAATGCGGAAGCTGGGGTTTTTTAACCGACTTCAGAAAAGTTCAGTTTGACCTGTTTGTGAGTGATTATCTCGTTTGTTACACTTAGGAGAAAATTTTAGGAATTGATAATAGTAATTAACCGACTTCAAACAAAAATTAGGGGATACAAGTCGGGTTTTTAAACGTAGTTTATAAAAGAATTATATTGGTCTAGGAATTTAAGTTGTAATACAATGGGTACACGTCTGATTTCACGTTCACGGACATTGTTCAGAAAAACAACGTTTTTGTTGATCAATTTTGTATCGGTTGTTTGATTTTAATCACCATTATCTAAAGCCTTCCTGTGTAGATATTTTAGATATAATATGTCTACATTTTCTTCATTGATACGAACACTTTTTACCGATGAATCAAATGAAATATCCAAAATGATAATTTCAAAAAATGTCACAACATTTTACATCGCTTACCATTATCAACAGCGCCATCTTTGACAGTTCTAGAACGTTCGTCTCCAAATAAATAATTTTGACAGATAAAATATCAATATGGCGGCGACTGCAGTTGTCAAAATGTCCCCTGTGATGTAATCCGTAACATTACAAGGGTTTACGTGTAACCAAAAGGGTTGTGTACAATGCAATCACACAGAATATAATTCTATTGTATTGTACGTTTGTATGTCATGGCATGGAGTTATGTTTCCAGCTTTGGGACACAGTGGATATTTGAGATTCGTGTTTTTAAATTTTTTGGTTAGTGCTGTTTTTTACTTCTTCGCAGTTTGGTAATTGGTATCATATTCTATACGTAAACATGTGTCGTAGTAATTTGGAAAATCAAGAAAAATAGCTTTCTTATAGTGATGCTAATATTTCTTTTAAAATTATATGCCCTTGAGTTAATCAACCTGCAATTAATTCATCTGGGGTATAAAACTTATTTAGTTTCTTGCTAAA